CACTTTATGTGTAAAAGTTAAAAAAGAAAAAGATCAGTTCTCATCTGCCTTGAACAATAAAAAATACTAACATATGCCTCAAAAACTGTAGAGTGAAATAAGGTAGCATAACCAACAAACAACCAACAAGCTGATATTTTTGAAAGCTTCAGCATTAAAAGGTTGCCCCTTCCTGCTGAGAAATGAAAGATTTGTAAATGCATTGACTCACACTCTGCAGCTTAGAACCGTTCTCTCCAGGTGACCGAGCCCTGTCCCTGCTGCCCTGTGCTCACCTATCCTATCAAGGGACGCTCCTGGCCAGGACACCCCATTTCTTCTTGGCTTTCTCTTAGCGTCCGCCTGCACACAGTTGTTACAATGAACACACAGTTTTACTGGCTGCCTTGCTTGGCTGGGGATTTTACATTGTTAAAACAGAAGGCTGTGCGTGCATGCGTGTGCGTGCATGCGTGTGCGTGTGTGTGTGTGTGTGTGTGTGCGCATGTGTGTGTGCGTGCATGCGTGTGTGTGCATGCATGTGCGTGCATGCGTGTGTGTGTGTGTGTGCGTGTGTGTGTGCACGCGTGCCCGTGTGTGTTCCCTTCTTTCTCCCTCCCACCTCCAAGAGAAGTCAGTGTGACTTGAGCCTGACCCTCCTGAGACAGCCCAGGCATCCCTCGCCCTGTTTCTCACTGGCCTAAGCTAGCTCTCACTCTCCCTCCTTGAGGCCTGGTTTGAACAGTCCGCCTGTACCACCTCTCTTCCAGGTTTTTAGAAACGTGTTATCTCATGCACTGCAGTTTCTTCTCAGCAGATACAGAATGCAGAAATAAGACTGAGATCCATGCTATGGAGTGGAGGGAGTGGGAGAAGTTATTTAACCCTCTTTGTCCCTAACCTGCTCAACCTAACATGGTTTATGCTAAGGAATTCCTGTTTTCATCTTATCTGGCTCCTGTAGTTCTCTACTAATCACTCACACGCACACACACACGCAAACACACACACCTCTCAAAGCAGATATTCATATATTTTCCTCACATACATGTGTTTCAGGACCTCGTAATGAGGAATTGTCATTGAAGGGCTGAATCCAGTTACTCCTGGATCTCAAACCTAAAATCATCAAAATGCCATCTTCATCACCAGTGAGATGCCCAACAACCAATGTCAAGAAGAAACTTCCAGAGCCATTTCACAGTTCTCATGGTCTCTTTTCTCCTCCGGCATGCCGCTTGGCAAGGTTCCAGGTGGTGACTGTTCCATCAGCACAGGACACAGAGCAAAGAAACTTGAGCGGAACTCAGCCAAGCTGTGGAAGGCAGGTGGTGTCACCACGGAGTGAGCTTTTGTCATTGTAATTCATTAACATTTTGCAGTTGTTTGTCACCCAGTGGCAGCAGGGGAGTTATTTCAGGAAGAGCCAGATGTAAGTGGGAAAAGTCACATTTGGTGTGCACACCTGTGACTGACCTGGAGGAGGGCCCAACTCTCCTAGATGTCTTGTAGCTCCAGGCTCTCTGTGAATACACAATCCATGGCCAGTTATTTCACCTCAGCGCTCACAGTCCAGGACCAATGCCCAGCCACCAACACATGACAATCCTGGAGCTAAACTCCAGACCTGCACCCATCTTAAGCTGAAGGCAGGTTGCATGATTTTAAGACTACATGGGAAAAGCCTCTACCCTGAAATTCCTCTCCTTTCTTGATATTAAAGTGCATCTCACATTCCTATTTTTATTATACAAACAGTCAAAATGCTAGGAGTTAAGCAGGAATTTTGGCTATCTACATTTAAATTTCCATTTATCAAAAGTCTCTCCCCTACTTCCCTGAAAAATGGAAATTCAGCCTGCTCACATTTCCAAGGGCAACTTTCCAAGGTGACTTCTTTCACTTTTGACAGTGAAAAATTGCAAGAAAATTCTTGTCACAAAAGGTTGAATTGTGCCTCCATTGTCCTGTCTCTTTTCTTTTAAAGCTTCAGACTATCTAAACCTATCTTGACATTCGACTTTTTCCAAGGATACCAGGGAGAGGTCTTATTCTTTGTCACTACTCTAAAATGCCAGACACATTTTAGGCAACAATAACTCCAAATGTTCCCTCACTTATCCTTAAATTGATCTTGATTCAATCTCAAACCACTGGGCAATCTGAATTTATCACATACTATCTTCCCTTAGAAGCCAGAATCTTTAACCTTGTTTACTTGGATCAGAATTAAGGTACAGAATAAAAGAAAAAAATTAAGGTACAGAATAAAAGAAAAACCCTATCTCTTAGAGATTTAAAAAATCTCATTTTTAAATGTTCCAAAATGTTCTCATTTTGGAACAAGCCAGACTTTCCAGGGCTATTCTAACAAGTTTAGGATATTCCTCTGATACAACACTATGCCTAAAGGCAGTATGATACAATACTGCTGTGGGTCAGTCATCTTTGCATTGCCTGACAATTTAATGGAGGAAAGATTTATTTCTGGCTCATGGTTTCTGGGTCTCTGTCCCTAGTAGCTAGCTCAAAGGCAGACACATCATAGTGAAAGACCATGGTAGAGAAAAACTGCTAACTTCATGGCTAGAAGGAAACAGAAAGGACTGGACACAGGTTTTGCCTTTCAAGGCACACAGCTCCAGTGTCCTCCTTCCCACAAATGGACCCCATCTCCTGGCAGACCATTCTACTATGGACTCCCCAATGGATTAACCCATCCATGAGGTTCATGCTCTTGGATCCTATTACCTATCTAGACTGCACCTCTGAACATTGCTGCATTGGAGATCGAGCCCTCAATGCATGAGTTTTTGGAGGATCCTTCATGTTTAAACCATAATAGACTTCCGGGGAAATGGTGGAGCAGTGAATAGCAGAGAAACAGCCTCTCTGAGATTTGGTGTCCAGACACTGGAATGTAGCAATATGAGGAAGACATGAAGGAAGGAAGTTGGTTCCCCAGGACCCAAGAAGGGTCTGAAGCAAGAAGTGAAGCCCACAGGCAGAGCAAAGAGAGGGACCTCCATGTAGAAGAAGGAGTGGCAAATGGAGTTTTCTCCCAGACCCTGGCTCATTGTGTGGGAGGGGCAGCTCAAACCTGCAGGCATATGGTGACTACTGGTGACCCCAGAAGCCACTACAAAGAAATGAACCAGTGGAAAGGAGTGGTGGATATAAAGGATTGCAGTGGCTGGTGAGTCATTTGGGTTCAGACATCCCCCAAGAGAGGGCAACTGACCAATCACCATTTCAAAGAGGAGCCAGCTGAGCTCAGAACTCAGAGCAGCTGCAGGTTGGCCCCATCCAGTAGCTCCCAGTGTCAGGCTGAGGCAGAGCCAAACTCAAATCAGCAGGTCTAGGAGCTGAGTGCAAGGGGGCAGGAGGCTCACAGTGTGCTGCCAGCTGAACAACACAGGTCCAGGCTCACAGCCCACAACCAGCCTGAACTTCAATGGCACTAAAGGTGCAGGTTTTCTGGGATTAATTGAGACAGACTGATGCTCTGCCTGCCAACTCCACATATCTAAGAGTAGAGACATACTATGAAGGAGACTTTTTTCCTTTCTTTTCCTTTCCTTTTTTCCTTATTTGTTTTTGTTTTTACATGTATGTGAATGCTGTCTCAAGTTTTCTGCTCCTTGTTGTTTTGTTCTGTCCTTTTCATCTCTTCCCTCTCTCTTTTCTGCCTGTCTTCTTCACAAGTTTCCCAAAGTTCATTTGATCTCCCTTGGTCCTCCAGTCTTTCTTCCAATCTCTTTCTCTTCTTCTATTTCTCTGTTTTTTCCCCCCAACTCATTTTACATTTTCTCCCCCAAAGGTAAAATTACCATATTAAGGGAATATTTACTGTGTACAATGTCCTAGTTTGTTTGAGATTTTTGTTATATTACAACCAATTTAGTTCATAATGGCTAAAGGTGGCCAATTAAGTTACCACAGTGTGTCATTTTCTAAGCTGTGTTTGATGCTATTCTTATCACTGATTGTACTACTTTAGCCAAGATGACATAATTGTTCTAATCAACTGTTTTTGTTGGGCATACGAATGCTGAAATTGCCTGAGGGTCATAAACAGTACTAGAGCTCAAAGCCAAAGAACCAAGGTTAGGCCACATATGTAGCAACTTTTATTTCCAATGAAATGAAGAGGTAACATCTTACAACACACTCAAAACCCAAAAGCCAGCTACACACCTCTGAAAATTAGCCATTTCCTAAGTGTTCTCAATACTGGCAATAAAACTACTTGCCATAAGCAATTTACAAGCATCAACCCAAGAATTAAACTAAAAAGAAAAAAAAGAAGAAAGTGAGAAGACATGGAAGCAAGATATAAACCCAGATTTCCAGCTCACCAAAGGCAAGTCCAGGGTCAAAGAGGTGGAACAATCTGAAACCCATGCACATGGACTCTCTGAAGTGGTAGCAGTGGAAGTAACAAAGCAGATGAAAGAGGCTCTAGAGAAAAATCAACTAAGAAATAACTTCTCAGAGAACTACAGAGATGGTAACCAAAATGAAGGATGTGGTTAGTGAATCTAGAGAAGACACATATATTTTTTAAAATAGAGGAGCTTAGGAAAGTGATGGAAACCATGAATGCCCAATATAGGGAAGAAATAAAATCCTTAAAACAAATGCAAACAAATAAACAAGAGATTAAAATTCCATTAAAAGTATACACAGCAAAATGAACCAACATGAGGACAGAATATCAAATCTATAAGTCAGGATTGAAGTTAGTGATCAGGAAAAGAAAGATTTCTTAAAAATAATAAGGGATCATGAAAAACTAAACCAACAGATTCTAGATAAAAGAATAACATAAGCTTGGTCAGAATTAATGAAAAAGCAGGAAATAGTGAAAATGGTATTCTAAAAAACTGTTCATGGAAGTAGTGGCAGAAAGTTTCAAACATGGAAAAACAATTTCACATAAAGATAAGTAAGTTACATAGAAGTCCAGTTACCCATTGACTGGCGCAGCTCCAACGAAACAGAAGACAGGAAACGCTTTTGTGGACGACAGTTAACTGCTAGTTTATTTACGCGGGCTCTGGTTTATATATTTGGCTGTGACCAATCACAGGCTGCCACAAGGAAGCAGGGCGGGAATGGGATGTAGGCTCTGGCTACTATATCCAGCTGTGGCCAATCAGGAGTTGCCACAGAGTACAGAGTGAGCGCGGGGTGCGCACGGGTTGGCTAATTTAAAGAGGGACGTAGCGCATTGCGGAAGCTGGCGTGGTCCTTAGTCCCGGCTGGGGTATGGTATGTTGAGCGCCTGCGCCCAACATCTCCCCCTTTCTTTATAACTGACGCAGGGTCTCCAGAGGTCGGTGGCCCTCGTGAGGTGTCACGCTGCAGTCATGACAGTGCCTCACTACTCGTTGGTGCTCTTTTGGAGGGGGCGGGAGTATTATTTTATGAGCCCAACCCGCGTGCTCACCAACATGGGGACCGGGGTGTCTCCTGGCCAAGGACGACACCCCCTGCGATGCTTTGCTCCACACCTGCGTCACAGCATGGCGAGCCATGCTGCCAGGCTTTGACCAGATTCCATGATCAGCAGTGCTTGTTTGATACTTTGTCCCTATTCCTTTGTCTGCGAATCCGACAGAGCAGAAGTAGACTGCTGAATGCGGCAAGTGTAGTCATGGTAGCCAGAGCCCCTATTCCTGCCCATTCCTTTATGAAAGCCAATTGGAGAGTTGGCCTGAGCTGGATCACAGGAAACTCGTCTGAGTCCGCCATAACTGGAATCGGTGCGAACTGGAGTACCTGCATAACAACAGCTGAAAGTGCACTGTTATCCCAACATTATAACATATAACAGGTTGCGGTGGAGCAATTTAGAAAAGTCATTGGCTGCAAGGACCGTACGAGATGCGAGAAGGAAGGGAAAAGGAGGCTACTAACCAGGGGAGTTGGCCAAGGTGCCATAGTTAATGGGAGTTGTGGGTGTGCTTGCTTGGTCTGGCTTGTGAGGCTCCTGTTGGTTCCCCTGTTCTGTGGTTGACGTTTCCTCTGGGTCGGGGTCTGGTGGTTTGCAGGGATGTATCAGGCATTCCGGGACCCAGACAGGTTCGCTGCCTTCTTCCTGCGGGAAGATACAGACCGCCCCTCTCGCCCAACTAAGTACTGGGCTGGGGCCTCTCCACACCCCATGCAGGAGGTCTTTCCAGCGTACCCAACCATGTTTGGGTGCGACAGGGTTGGCATGTAGCTGTGCTGGCGTGGATCCTTGTGGGTTGATGTTTACAAAATTGTAAGTGAAGAGGGCAAGATTTAGTCTGGCCCTAGGTGTCATGCCCTGGGCAATACCCTCCTTTTGTTTAAACAGAATAGACTTGAGGGTTTGATATGGCCTAACTTTAATTGCTCTTGAATAAGTTTGGATGCGGCTTCTGCTTTGTCTCGTGGTAGGGCCGTCAACAATGGCAAGCCCCGACTCCTGCCAAGTTAACGAACTATACCTGGTGCTGACCCAGAGCAGCTGTGAGCTGCTTAATGAGCGGCATGGCTGTCTCTGTGTCTCTAAAAATTCTCCCTGCCGCCTCCATCATGCAGGCCACAAAATCTGAAAAAGGCTCGCTCGGGCCCTGCAAAATTTTTGTCAAGTGGCCTGAGACTTCTCCCCTAGCCGAGACCCGTTTCCATGCTTGTATGGCTATTCTATTTATCTGTGCATACACCTCTTGTGGAAATATCAGCTGGTTATTGAGATACTGCCCTTGTCCTAATAACATATCCGCGTTCCAGGCGGCCTGATTGTTCTGGGCATTAGCTTGGCCCTGTTCTGTGGCAAGTTCAACATTCCAAGCTTTCCAATCAAGATATTGGCCTGGGCTGAGCACTGCCTTGCACAAACTGGCCCAATCAGCAGGTGTCATGGCATTTCCTGCCAGGGCTTCTACTAGGGACAGGGTATACGCCCCATTAACACCGTACATGGTGCTGGCCTCCTTAAGATGCTTTATCGCCTTCATATCTATAGGCAGGTGGGCTCTGTTTCCCTGAGCATCTACAGCAACCGGAAAAGCCTGGAGAAAACGGCCTAGGCCTCCTGGGTCCTCTCTTTTGACTTGATGCCAAAGGTCTTCCTGGAATGTCCCAGGGGACATCTGGACCCGTTGCGGACAGCTACATAGCTGATGGCAGGGTCTCTGGTGGGCATGATAATCTGGCGGGTCGGGAGGTAGAGCCATAGGTCTTATACGGGGTGGCCCTGGGATCCCGTACTCGCTTTCATTGACCCATTTACTCTGAGAAATCCTGCGTTGCAGCTCATTTATGGCCTCAGAGTAGGGCCCTCTCAGCTGTGTGTGTGTGACTTCCCCTCTTTCGGTGGTGTCTGCATCCACCATTTTGTATACTTCTCCTTCCTCCCCCTCATTATCTGACGAGTCTGGGTTGGGTGGGGTCACCTCGCCTGCGGCACTGGACTCGCGAGATTGCTCGCGGGAGGATTCTGCCTGATGGTAATCAAGCGCCATGGCGCCAGCCCTTATATGGTCACGACAAGAGGTGTCTGCAAGGCAGCTTCTCACCACTGCCCAAAGGGGTCTGACTCCTGGCTCCAGGAGGCCATTTTCTACTGCAAAGTCAAGATCTCTCCCTAATTTATCCCAGCTGGGGATGGTAATGGACCCCGTGGGACCAAACCAAGGTGCTACCTTATCGACCTGATTGAGAAAGTTTTGAATTTGTTCTCGTTTCATTTGTAATCCCTTTTCTCTCAGTAAGTCGCTTAAGGCGACTGACAGTGGCTGAGTAGCCGTGTTACCCATGTTAACCAGAATTTCAAGAGTTTCTTTTTATTTTATATTTTTCTTTCTTTTTTTTTTTTTTTTTATATAGGGACAGCTTAGTCCCCGCGCCCCTTTACGGCGCCCCCAAAACCGGCCTCTTTACGGCCCCCGGAACTCTCTTTACGAGTTCCTGACCCTTGCGACGCGTCCGCCCAAGGTTGCCCAATAGCCCCCGCTATACAGCCCTGTTGCGTAGCCCCCGCTACCAACGTTGAGCAGTTTAACCTGTCAGCCCCCGCCCGCCAAGTAGCCCCCGCTATTGGCACTTGACGATTTTACCTGTTCGTCTCTGTTCCGTCGGAGAGAGAGGTTCGTTCCCGTACTGTTGGAGAGAGGGTCTCAGCGTTCCGGGCTCCCCGTACGGGCCACCAGTTGACTGGCACAGCTCCAACAAAACAGAAGACAGGAAACGCTTTTGTGGACGACAGTTAACTGCTAGTTTATTTACGCGGGCTCTGGTTTATATATTTGGCCGTGACCAATCACAGGCTGCCACAAGGAAGCAGGGCGGGAATGGGATGTAGGCTCTGGCTACTATATCCAGCTGTGGCCAATCAGGAGTTGCCACAGAGTACAGAGTGAGCGCGGGGTGCGCACGGGTTGGCTAATTTAAAGAGGGACGTAGCGCATTGCGGAAGCTGGCGTGGTCCTTAATCCCGGCTGGGGTATGGTATGTTGAGCGCCTGCGCCCAACACCCATGACCAAGAAAAAATCTACACAAGGCATATAATAGTCCAGATTCTAGAAATTCAACACATGAACAAAATTTTAAAAGCTGTTGGAAGAAACAGCCACCTGTAAAGGAATCACCTGATCACAATTACAGCAGACTTCTCAACACAAACCCTGAAGCCAAGGAGAGCTTGGAGTGAAGTATTTCAAACCATAAAAGAACACAACCTCTAATCCAGACTGATATACCCCCACAAAGCTATCATTCAAAGTTGATGGAAAAATAGAATACTTTTATGACAAAGGACACCAAGGAAATTCATGACTGTCACCTCAATACTCCAAAATGTTTTGAAGGACATTCTAGAAGAAATAATGAGGACTACAACTCCACGAACCTCAACAGAATGAACCCCCCAGGCAAGGCATGTAATAAACAGAGGGGTAAAAAAAGGAACCAACAACAGGAAAATAACATGACAATGATTAGTCAATATACAGATAGACAGATAGACAGAGATATCAGTTATAACCCTCAATTGAGATGATTTATGGTCCCCATTCACCAATTACAAGAAATAGACTGGCAGAAGGACCAAGAAGCAAGATCCAACAATATGCTGCATACAAGAAACACATTTTTTGTAAGTATATAACAAAACAAGTCAGAATAAAGCCAACTAAGATCGTACAGTGAAATTGGTACAGAACTTCACAGCAGGTTACCAGGATAACAGTAATAGGTATCATAGTATATTTTGTTATCTTTATAATAGGTATTCTTTCAATCACGTATATCAAAATGAGATGAAATATAGAACACTATAGAACTTATCAAAACAGAACATTGAATAGAGCAGTACCATTAATCAGGAAAGAGTAAAACAGTAATAAAAAATATTTGCCTTCAAAGAAATGGTAGAAGGAAGTCTCCCTTATTTGCTATGATCAACCTCCCAGGAGATGCTCAGATTTCTGGTTTCCATTTGCTAATGAGTGGGGAGGAGGAAGAGAAGGAGGATAGGGGAAGTGGGATATTTGACTCTAGGCCATGTAGCCAGTGGGTTCACTATTGCTAAGCAGGTAGGCAGGTTGGTCATTTGCTTTCACAGCGTCCTCAGTTCCAACATGGCGTGGATCTCAGGAGACATTGCTGGTTCTCCCCCTGGAAGGGCTGCAGTCTGCCACCCTGCCTCCGCTTGCCAGGGAGGGGAGGTGCTTGTTTGGCTGTCCAGAATCCTAAGTTCCAACATTGCGTGGATCTCAGGAGACACTGCTAGTTCTCCCCCTGGAAGGGCTGCAGTGGGCCACACTGCCGCCACTTACCAGGGAGGGGAGGTGCTTGCTTGGCTTCCCAGAGTCCTAAGTTCCAACATGGCGTGGATCTCAGGAGACATTGCTAGTTCTCCCCCTGGAAGGGCTGCAGTGGGCCACACTGCCACCACTTACCAGGGAGGGGAGGTGCTTGCTTGGCTTCCCAGAGTCCTAAGTTCCAACACGGCGTGGATCTCAGGAGACACTGCTGGTTCTCCCCCTGGAAGGGCTGCAGTCTGCCACCCTGCCTCCGCTTACCAGGGAGGGGAGGTCAAGAAACACATTTAAGTCAAAAAGAAATTCATAGACTGAAAGTCAAAGGATGGAAAACAATACTCTATGTGACAGAAACCCAGAAAAGGGCAGTGGTAGCTATTCTATTTGCAAAGTGGATTTTAAACCAAGATAGACTAAGAAAGACAAAGAAGGTAACTATATCCTTGTAATGGAATAATCTAAGAAAGACAGTGACAGTCATAAATATATATGCACAAAATACCAACACACCCAACTATATCAAGCAATATTAACAGACAAGAATACTCAAATAAGGACTAAAACGATTGTAATAGGGGACCTCAGTACCCCAATGTCACAAATAGATCAACTAGACAAAAAAAATCAACAAAAAATCAGAACTGAACCCAACTTTTGAACAAATGGACTTATTAGATATCTACAGAGTGTTCTCCCCAACATCAGAATACACATTATTCTCAGCTATACACGGGACGTTCTCCAAAATAGATCACATACTAGCTCACAGAACATGCTTAAGTAAATGCAAAGGAGAACCTGTATTCTAATAATATGGAAATAACAGAGCAAATAGACCGTTTCTTAGGTATACATATGAATTACCAAAGCTGAATCAAGAAGATATAAAAATTCAAAATAAGCCAATATCAGCCAATTAAATTGAAAATGTTATTAAAAACCTATCAACAGAGGCTGGGGATTTAGCTCAGCGGCATAAGCACCTGCTTTGCAAGCAGGCGGTCGTGAGTTCAATCTTCGGTACCAATAAAAAGAGAAAAAGAAAAAAAAATGAAAAACCTATCACCAAAGACAAGTCCAAGTCCTGATAGATTCACCAATGAATTCTACAAGAAATTTAGAGGAGATCTAATGCTCCTACTTCTCAAACTCTTTAATGAAATTAACGGAAAGTAATGCTCCCAAGTTCATTCCTGGAAGCAAGGATTCCCCTGATACCAAAACCAGAGGTGGATCCAACCTAAAAAAGAGAACTACAAACCAATCTCCCAAGCCACACACAAAAATCCTCAATAAGGTACTGACCAACAGAATGCTGCAAATCATCAAAAAGAGATTATACACCATGATCAAGCAGGATTCATTCTAAGGAGGATGTCAGAAAATGAAAAGATATCCCTTGCTCTTGGGTAGGAAGAACCATACAGTGAAAATGGCCATACTCCCAAAATTTTATACAGATTTAATACATTCTCAACCAAAATACCAATAGCATACCTCACATAATTAGTAAAAAAAAAAAAAAATCCTGAAATTTATTTGGAACCAGAAGGGACCCAGAATAACAAAGGCACTCTGGGCAACAAAGGCAAGGCAGAGAGCATCAAAATCCTTGATTTGAGTATATACTACAAAGCTACTGTGATAAAAATAGCATGTAGGCAAAAAGCAGACCTGATTAATGGAACAGATTAAAAGATGCAGAAACAACTCTAAGCACACTCAACCACCTTATCTTTGGCCAAGGGACCAAAAACCTTCACTGAAGCAAAGATAGCCTCTCTAATAAATGGTACTGGGAAAACTGACTTTCCATGGGCCAAAAATTAAAACTACACCTATGTCTTTCATCACCCACTAAACTAAAATCAAAATGGATCAAAGGTCTAAATATTAAAACAGAAATACTAAATCTCTGGAAGAGAAGGTAGAATTCTTGAAGACATAGGTGTAGGTAAAGACTTTATGAGCAAAGTCCCACTCACACAGGAAATATCACAAAAAATCAACAACTGGAATCTCATTTTATTAAAAAGCTTTTGCACATTCATCAACAGAGTTAAGAGAAAATTCACAGAGCAAGAAAAAAAAATTGTCACCTGTTCCTTAGACAAAGGACTAATATCTAGAATATATAAAGAACTGAAAAAGAAAATCAGACCACCCCCAAAATTTAAAGACCCAATCTGAAATTAGACATCTCATCAGGCAAGTGGCACACACCTATAATGCCAGCACTTAGAAAGCTGAGTCAGGTGGATCTCTGTGAGTTTTAGGCCAGCCTGGACTGTGTAACTGAGTTCAAAACCAGCCTTAGCAACGTAGAGGGACTCTGTCTCAAAAAGAGAAAAAAAAAACATGGGAATCTTCAGTAGTAAATAGACACATCTCGGATGAAGCAGTACAAACAAAATAAAGGCATGAAAAAATGTTTAACATCACCAGGAATTTGAAAGATGCAAATTAAAACAATGCTGAGATTCTATCACACTGACTAAAAATAGAAACAATGACTATTATCAAGAAATCCACCAATAACAAATGGTGGAAAGTTTCTGTGGAAAAAGGAACGCTTCTCAATCACTGGTGAGAATGCAGACTGGTACAGCTCCTGTGGAAATTAATGTAGAGATTCCTCAAAAAATTGAAACTAGAGATTCAGTTTGATCCAGCTATCCCCCTTCTTGGTATTTTTCCGAAAGAATTAAATGCATCACAGCACAGCAATATATATACACCCATGTTTATAGCAGCACAGTTTGTAATAGCTAAATCTTGGAAACAGCCTAAAAGCCCATCAACCAATGAATGGATAAAGAAGATGTAGGCTTTTTATACAATGGAGTGCTACTGAGACATAAAGACGAACAAGCCTGAGACACTTCTAGGTAAATGGATGCACACTGAGGTCACACTCCTCAATGAAATAAATCGGACACATGTATTTAAATATAGTATGATTTCTTTGGTGTGAGAAACCAAAAGTGTAAATAAGGATCAAAGTGTATAACAGATACTGTGAAATGGGGGGGGGGGATATTCAAATGGGAAGGGGAACTAGGGATGAGGGAAGGGGAAAGGAAGGAAGGGAAAAGGAAAAAAAGGAGCAGAAGGATAAAATGGAAACAAAGCTCTTTTAAACAGGGAGGGGGAAGAGAAGGGGAGGGGAGGGGAATGGGAAAAAGCAAGACATACCACCTAGAGGTACAGATTCCCTATGATGGATGTTAG